ACGCAGAGGTTTCCGAACAACGCTGCCCATCCAAGGAAAATTACACAGTTGTATGATTTATAGTTGCCAGTAAAACGATGTGGAATATCTGATATCCTATAAAATAATCATTCGAATCAGATGAATTATAGTCAAAATAAATTTCCAACTTTATGTAGAGCCTTTATTTAAACTTACCTAATATTTTATTGCTTTATTATAGATATAATAAGAAATTCTTGAAATTCAAACGTTATAATACGTCATTAAACTGGCAACTGATATATTGAGAAATATTCTTTTGTTGCGTCACAGAATCTTTTAGCAAATAATAAAGTTGCCACATTTTGATGTAAATTACCGGTGATGATTGCAATTTATGCTTCATAACAATCAAATATTGTCTAATTTAAATATTTCAAAAAAAAATATTTTATTAAAAGGTACTTTTTATGGTGCAAATATAAAAATATAAACTATATAACATCGTTATCGCAAACTGTCAAATTCACAATCCCGGAGGTTGTGTGGCAAGCCAATGTGGTGTAGGATTTTGCAACACATGGGTTTCGGCGAACCGGCAAGGAGATATTGTTTCAAAAGCAAGGAAACTCTCGAAAGGAAAAATAAGTGAGTGGGATTGGGCACCGTTTCTTTAAACATAGGGAAGCTAAGACTTTGAGGATATCATTCAAGGTATGATGCCAGTACTTCAAGTAACGTATACTTGACTCTATATTTTCTTGCTAAAACTCCGTTTATTTGAGATTAGCCTAGCGGTCCCCAACCTGTTTCGATAAATGTCTCCCTTTTCCTATCTTCGATCTTTTTATGCATAAAAACTCTGTTTCCGGTATCTGTCCAACTTACTGCCTATCTACTGCTACGTACTACTCGCTTTCCGGCACCTGCTAAATCAATCAAGATTTCAAGTCGCACATCGTAATTTCGGTGTTGTAAATAAATAAGGATCTTCGATAAAGAGCCCGCCACCTCTCAAAATAGAAATTAGCATTCATCCAGATACAATTTTTTTTTCATTGATGAAATTCAGCAATGTCAGGGTTAGGAAACGCACAATTACTTTTTCTTTTTCCGTATCAGCAAAAACGAGGCAAATAGACATGTGCTGCAATTGGGTTTCATTTTAGTATGTCCTTTCATCGGGATGTCGCGTCATATCTACCATTACAAAGAGGATTATAGCAGGTTTGACGCCAGTTATGTAGACGCTGTGGATTCCTTGGTTTGACCTACAGCCAGGGGCGTGCCATATTTTTTTGCTTCTCAGGACGAGTTTCTGATACCAATGCCCCTTAAGCCTACGTAACTTTGAAAATAATTTGCGGGATAAGCAAGTTATATACTGTATGTTGCTATACACGAGAATAAATAAATTAAAAGATAAGTAAGAGTAAAATGTTTGTATTATTTTATAACCATCAAATTAAGCAACATACCCATATTTGTAAGATCGAACTCTTTTATCTACTGTCCATTACAATGTGATGACCGGGGCGTCTGCCCCTATGGCCCCCTCTCCTATCCCCGCCCCTGTGCATAGCCATTGAGCTCGCGCGAATCGCTCGCATCGAAGTATTTGACGTTTCGAAAGCTTCGTATTTGATTTATGCCAAGTGTGTCATATTAATGTATCTTATATACGTAATAATATAGATTAGTAAATAGCACGTACAGTTCGCATGATTTCCTGAAATGAGGAAACCTATTGAGTTTGATACAAAAAAAAACTTTTGTATGAATCTTATCACAGCCTATAAGCCAATAAACTACATCGGGTTAATTTTAATTAATTAATCCTTCCGCCTTGATATTTGCCTAAGTGATTTTTGTTCGTTGAGGAACCTTCTTAGTTTTATCAGACTGTATTTAACGTCAGAATTGAACCCGAACCAAGCCATAATATTTTCGTTGGAGTTCAGTGCATGTTTGTAAACGTAATTTTGCAAAAATAATCAAGTAGCAACCTATAGGATCATCGCCTAGTTAATTGGAGCTAAACTTGACAGCCGACTAATTTACGTTCTTGATTAGCTCGACTTTGCCCCAGCACGCGTCCGTGCGCATTGTTGTGGGGTTATCAGTCAAAACAAATCGGTTTTGTCTTGCCCACAACGCAGAGTTGGCGCTACTGGGTTCGCTACTGGGAGACTGTGTGGGCGACAGAGCATCAATTATCACTTTTAGAAAAGAAAAACGTAAATTTACTTGAATTTTGATGTAACTTATTATACGGAATGATTTGACCCACTTGTATTTATTCTGATTGTGGCTGTCCAGTAATTTACGCCATGAAATGACATGTATGCAGGTATTAAAAGAAGTTTGTGTAATTTCAGTAGCAGTCGAAGTGGTTTGTATAAAGTTTGCTGCCGAATTTTGAGGCGTCTGACTGACTCTCTTCATTCGACTCGCCAAGGGCACGTTGTATGCTTCAGTATTTTGCACCATGAAAAAACAGTCATTTAATAATGTATTAAAATAAGGTTTCGGGCCAAATAATTCAATCGAATATGTCTTCAAAAGCTTATTTAAATGATTTATCGGATCTGTAACCACATATTTCGACGTAAATTGTATAAATTTCCAAATGTTACTTTCTCTAACTTAAAACTATAAACATAAGAATAGTTGATTACTAACAATGCCATAGTATTATTTTGAACAGGAGGAAATAGGCGGATAACAGAAGCAGACCGAATGACAATTAATTTATGATTTGGGTTGGTTATACATGGTGTCCATAAAGTCCTTTTACAATTTTTGTTATGAAGTCAGTTCTCAATAATCTTAACCAGGTTTGTTGTTTAATCAGTTTTTGTTTAAGTATTTCTACTTCATATATTACATTTGTGAGAACCAAAACAAAATATGGTATCAATAACTATCTTTGCAATTTAAAAAATTTTCAAGTCTTGAGGACACCCTATACATGATTTAAACCTAATATCGACTATGTTACAATTTGTATATTAAATTAATCACTGGATGTCGTTCATATGTTATGTATTATTGAATGATGTAACATCGTTTATCATAATATTATTCGCAACAATGATTGTTATTGAGGGATTGGAATTGATAGAGAAATTCATGGTTTTGTGGGAATGAAATCGATGGATTGTTTTGCTGCGACCATGCCAATGCATCTGGAACGAATACCAGTTCCATTATATATATTAAACATTCCGTTACATAGACCAGTGGTAGGCAAACTGCGGGCCAAATGCAGCCCACAAAAAATTTTTGTTGCCTTCGAAAGAACCTCGCTTTTATTTCGCAAAAGCTAAAATTGCTCATACATTTATTATCATCTGCATGCACACTGATGTATGCTCTAGCAATGGCTGTTGTTCGCTGTATGTTTCGTAGTAATTAGCGTAAGCGAAAGCACATGTCAGTCGCATGTCGTTTGCTCGCACACGTGCCTAAGGTTAGTTGTTATTGACACAGAAAAAGAATTTGCCTCTGCGTCATAATTTGACGTTAGATGTGGTAATTGTTTAGAAATGGAAATTAATGAGGCCCGCGCGCTACCGTCAATTTGCATATTTGGCCCAGTAGTATATATAGTTTGCCGACCACTGATATAGACCGCTATTGATATGCCATATAAGTGGGAAGCAATCTTATTCCCTCCATACTCGGCTTGGTCTCCCCAAGTTTAATGGTCTTATACACCTACCATTTGAAAACATATTATTATTTCAAGCTATGTTGCATTTTGGTTTTACGGGGTAATGATGTTTGATGGCAACTTTAGTGTTTTATAGTTTTGTTTTTGCGAAAAATATTATTGATGAGCTATCAGTCTTGCGATTCTCGGGAAAGGGATTGAATTCATTCTAACAACAGCAAACAACAACACTTTCAGTGGGCTATCCCTGGCCGATTTTTTTTTACCTTATGCTGATGACCTAAAACACCTCCTTAAGAAAGTTCACTATTCTAGATTCTGTAACCATTTTGTGCAATTTGTCTGAAGGCAAAGTTGCGAGCCAAAATACAAAGTAGGAAGTCTTGAGAGAAGAATACTTGGAAGTTCCCTCTAAGATCTATTATCCCTACAACACAGATTTTTACTCCATATCCCAATTCTCTTTCTAATAAAATAACCCATAACCAAACACAAGTTGCATTTCTGTCTTCGCATTTTATTTCAACAAAACTGTCCAAATCAATCAATATGTTAATTGTCGAAATATAAATAAAAGGAAATATAAAACAAAAAAATTATATATCTTTCAGGAATTTTCACCTTGAGGGAAAAACTCTGGGATAGCAAGAAACCAACTGGCACATATTGTGAGTATTCAATTTCATTAGATATGAATGAAGTAAGCAAAAATAGTTGGTGGTCGTAAAATAATTGGCGCTCCCGAAGTATTTGCACCAAGATGGCGCACAACCTTAACCTGGTACACATACTATTTTCAGGTTGTGCGCCATCTTGGTGCACATACTTCGGGAGCTACAAATAGTTTTTACAATGTTTTTGAGTTTCGAATTCGATTAGAAAGGTGACAAGGACCCACTAGAAAGCAACTTTCTATAATAAAATTGAAATTATGGCCAAATATTCATACCTTTTAACATGTAACAACATAATTTTAGCGTGGAATTTGCAACCAATTTTTAGGCAAAAACGAATATGTTACTGGGTTAGGTGAGAAGCTATCTATTTTTTTTTTTGAAAGCAAGTAAAATACTTTACCATATTGTAAATTTATTGTAAAAAAACTGAATGCTGACCATACCAATTCAACAGGACAATCATAGATAGGGAATGCATAATTCTACCACCAAGTTGGTTATTTAAATGTAAATATTAAAAAAGAAATAAATTACAATTAAAAAATAACAAAGATTGTCTTGAATAGAAATACTTTTAAACGTCAAGAATAAATGATGGGGAATCGGAGTTACTAAATAAAAATAAGGCTTTACAAACTTTAAACATTTAACCTATAGTTTCTAATTACAAAATTCTTTCTTTGGTGTTCTCAAACATACGCAAAATTTGCTTCGGAAGTTACACTTTGATTGGGGCTATCAAATTCAAAACGCGTCGAATTTATGACAAAAATATCTTTCGTCGGTGTCACTTCGTTATGCGATCTCATCGTCCTAAAACCACGTTGAGGATCACTGAGATCGCATACCAAAGTTGCATAATTTCGCCTTATTTAATAATGTGGTATCGTAATGAAAAACAATATTTAATAGTATTGTATTCCAGAATTCCTATCTATAAAAGCTCACCAGTTCTAATATTGAGTAATTGATAAACATATTAATTTAGTCCTAAAGATGTAAAATTGTACATTGTATCTAATATAGGAAATTGAATGTTATTAGGTTAAAAAACATAAGCTGTTTGAGAATGTTTGTTTAGGGCTTTGTTCGAGGCGAAATGACTAGTCAGGTATATGGATTGCCGTATGCAAAATTCGATTTACATAAATTAGGCGACAACATTGTCAGAATATGAAACGAAAAAAATAAAACGTTAAATTCGCACAAAAATCATAAAATAGTTATTTTCGATAATAAAAAAGAACAATTTGAAAATACGAGTTAAAACAAAATGAAGAATTTGGCAAGAAATAAAAAAAATTAACGCTGAATAAAAAAAAGGAGCCAAATTATTCAAAGATATAAATGGGGGCAATTTTGTGACGTCATCAAAAGGTTGTCCCCTCAGATTGTGCTGTAAATTTTATCCCCCTACCCACTCTGGTATTCTACGTACATATCGTTATATTTCATTTTCAAATATTTGGCTCTAAATTTCTAACTCTGCATTACAATCGAAGAAAATATTTAGTAAGATCTTAAACTATTTCATCATTTACGTCATCACCTGGTTATATCTGATTGCTCATAGATATTTATATATTTTGGATCAAAGTTCCCTAAATGCCGTAAAATTTGACATCAATATTTGACTTTGAAAATGGTTTCCTATTGATAACTTTGAGTTTGTTTTGTCACAACTTGTTGGCATATCAGGTAAGATATGTGATTAAATAGTCAGGCCCGTGTATGAGCGTCTCAAGAGCGTCTCAAAATCGTTTTGAGACTTGAAGAGTCTTTGATCGAAAAATTAGATTTTTTTTATTGTAAGGCCCAAATATAAGCCGCATATGTGTAAACATTTTCGAATTTAGTTCAACTTAAAATCTGTTAACGATATCTTGTCGATATTTAGATGAAACGATTACATAAACCAAGGATAATTATTTTGGAAAAGCTGTCGGTTTGCTGTTTTTGCTAAAAATCACGTCCTACTCGCCCCAAAATCACGTATTCTCATGACGTTAGTGTAATATTAACCCTTTATCGCAATACCGCATCGGGAACTATAAAACAGGTCTCACATTTTCACACAATTGCAATAACAACATACAAATATACCGTTCAATTGAAACATCTATACTGTATATCAACTTGATTCGGTAGGTAAAACTTGTCCGGTGAGGAAAGGGTTAATAACAACGGCGGCTCTGGTACAGATAGCGGTGTATCTTACGCGTGGTCCAGGATTTTTGGCGTCAAATAAGATAAATAACACAACGGGCTGTTCTTATAACATTGATAAATTTTCAGATTGTCTACGCGCATAAATAAATTACTGTTTCATGACTCAAGTAAAGAAAATTAGTGAAATCGTACAAATTTGTTTATAATTTTATATGAATTTAGCGTGCAGGATGAAGCGCACGCCAGCTTGTTAATCGTAAAACGGTTTTTGAGAAACTCAATTTGAAGGCGGCCCTAATTGTATCCAAATTTGTTATAAACTCAGTGTGAAGTCAATGAGGTGAAGGCCAGTTTGCCAATCGAAAACGTTTTTTAAAATGTTAAAGTTATAGAGCGGTCCAAATTGGTCATAATGTCAGACCGCATTCAGAAAAAATATTTTCGAATAAAGTGCATAATTGCGAGTCATGCCGCTTTTCAAAAATACCGGACTATTGAGCTAATGGCGACCAATAATATCAGGGAATTTCGTTGTTTATACAAATTGATTAATTTTTCTATAGTCAGAATTTGAGAAAAATTTCCTACACGTAGCCGTGTGGGAATTGGATATCATATTCTGTCCGGGTATTCTTTCGTTCAAGTCTCAAACTTTGGCACGTAAAGGGCTTTATTATTTTCGGTGTGATTTTGATACATACCAGTAACACTGTTATAGATTGTAACCCAATAAATTACAGTCTTCTAGAAATATAGACTCGATTATGCGTTCCTGTTCCCTTAGTATCTTAGAAACCATTGTGGCGCAATAAAATTGCAGGAACTTCTTATAAACAATATTGCATAAAGGAAATAAACAATGGTTTGTTTATTAAAGCTTCCGCGTACGTCATCAGTCACTGAGTTCAGACCTTTGTTGGCCCTTGTTCCCGACATGGCATGTAACTTTCCGATGCCACGTGGCATAACCTTTCAACATGCCGCCATTTCGGCGGGATGCCATTGTTTAACAATCGATACTACCGACACCCGCAGGCGTCTACTGTCATTTGCTGATAACTTTTCAGTACGACAACTTCTAATTCGTCCAAATAAAGCATCGCTATTGAGCTTAGTTCTGTTGGTACACAGCATGGCATAGGGGCCAGGAGTGGTTCTACTGCATTCACCAGCGTTTGCACGATAGCGTGATTTGTGGCGTTCATGTATTCAGCAAGAGGAAAAGGGCAGGGGCCGTCACAATAGAAAGCGTGGTATCCATGGGGGGCTACAATCCAATCATTCCAATCGACTTCAGCAAAATCTACGTAAAGATTTTGACGTTTGCAACTCTTGCGTCTCTTTCGTCGTTTGTTGGCTTTGCGTTTACGTCTCACTCTACGTGAAAGGTTGGTTTGCGTACCATCATCAGTGTAAGCCAGGACTAAGGGACGGGTATGGTGGTGTTCCGCGGGGGATAAATTATCGCTCAAATCACGCCTTAATCTGACGTGTTTGTCCGCCCCTGGTTTAGGAGATTCCCCATCGTCCTCCCTCACTATTTCCACAATTAGTCCATGATTGGTTTCCGTCAACCATTTCCGCGCCACGGAACTGATATCGAACCTTTCCCACGTAGTGTTAGTTGTGTCGATAACTCGCGTATCCAAGAGTCGCTTTATGGGCTCATTTTTACGTTTCAATCCGAATCGCCTTCTTCGTTGTTTAATCATTTCAAGAAGTTTTGCATGCTCAGTGTTTACGTCATCAGATGACGTCATAGTATCGTCATCTGAATCACCAACCATTTTGATGATCTCATAAATGTTAATTCGATGAAGTCTATCATGCATCTCTGAATTCATATGCTCTTCGATTTGAGCACGATGTAACAGTAATTCCGAAAATTTTAGCTCTTCGTTGACCGGTAGGGACGAAATGTTGAAAATAAGGCGAATGTGGTTGTCTGCGATCCATTCCGGTCTTTCCTCTGATTCTGAAACACAAATAAAATCACTATTAATATCTGGAACCTGCGTTATAGCAAAGAAACCATACTAGACTTACTAATAAAATCAATGGAACATATAAAAAATGAGAAACTGCTTGTAAAACACTAAAATGTTCTGGTAAACAGTGACTATGTGAAACCAATTTCAAATATAAACCGCTATCAGATAAAATATTGGACCAGTTTTTGTTTGTTTTTGCTTCATTCTTTGATTAACTTTTCATAGAAATTGGTGAATTTTCAATGGTTTCAATCATTTACATTCTGATATATAATTCTGCTTATACTTTGTTCCGTTTTGAAAATACTTAAAATCGAGACTGGATTATGTAATCTTCTACGACATGTAGTACTTGTACAACAAAAAATTTACTGTCGACAGCTATTTTTGCAATAACGACCGTACAACGAGGCAAACTGCTTCGGAATGCGACACGGTAGAGTTAACAGCAATAGAGCGATTAGTGTACTCGTCTATGATGTCACAAATATGTCAAGAAAATTAGGATTGTTTGGTAACAAAGGCTAAAATACTTGCAGAAAACCAGTTTACGCTTGCCCGCATTGGGCAAAGATTATGGGATGAAATGATATCAGCAAAATGGGGTAATATGGGGTTTCTTAAGTCCCACCGGATACCCATAATTGACCACACTGTGGGGCCAAAATTATCGCTTTGTCAAAAGTTGAAACGGAAAATAAAAGGCTCGAATTATCTGATGGAAATGTAAAAGATAACCGAATAGGTATCGCCACACATTATACATAGTCTTATTTTACTTGTTATATTTACCCTTTTATATTTGACATATTACACATTCACTCTGAATAAGGCTCAAGAAAAGCAACTACTACTATATACCATGTTACTAGGTGTGATTTCATATAAACAAAGTTTTTTAACATGGATGTGGACTGATGGCCGTGACACATTTACTCCAAAGAAGGTTCTGAACAAGTCATCGCTACAATACACAAGGCTAGGTACTAGGTTAGATTTCAAAAAAACAACTTTGCTGTGAAACTGAAATTGCAACTGGTACACATTCATCCTAAACGAGCGCTGTACAGGCAACCGCTCCTGCTTAAGGAGCCAGTAGGTTAGATTTTAGTTAAACAAAATAATTTGGCTACACATCTAGTCTTGTGACTGTAGCTTGAAATGGGAGAGATACTTTTAACAAAAACTTATTTCGTCGCCAACAGATTTTAAAGCATATTTACATATCGTGGGTAAATAGCATTCATGGCATTTCGCGGTTAGGAAATTTATAAGACTACAGAAAATGGCCACAAAGTAATCACATAAAGTCGGATTCGTGATGCGTTCTTGGCTAATATACCGTAGATAAAAAAATTTACCCAAGTTCTCAGGGTAAAAATTTAAAAAGAAAATAATGGTTCACCAAGTTTTTTCTTGCAACCAACCGACAACAAACATCCATATAAAGCCAAGATTTGAAAAGGCGTTCTCAAGCCATGAAATACCAGTAGCGCTTAGGTTCACCGAATAATTTGATCATAAGCGTTGGATCTCCAATGATTTGGTTCCTTGTGTTTTGTGAACTTTGAAAAGTAGCAAAAATATATACAGATGCCAAAATTTCAAGGCGCGTTTCGAAGCTTAGGGTCGCGGTTCAACAACTTAGCGATTTTTAAGTCGTTTTGCTGCTTGTATATGATGTGGAGCATTGCTTTTGTTGAAAATAATAGTACGTATCGTTCTTATTCATAAATTTACGCGGTGCACGGTGAGTGCAACCCTGGCATTTTTGACCAAATAATGAGAAATGGTCGGTTGTTCTGAAATACGATCGACCAACTTAAGCTTAAGATTGGGATGAATATAAGGTCCAAAATTGCCAATTGGATGGCTTCCGTTTTGAGAGCGCTGGTAGGTTATACAGATTTTGAAATGAAGCATTTACTTTCTAATCATTTGAAACAGGCTCCCCAAAAATATTTTTATCACCATATAAATACAAAAACCGAAAATTCCGATGAAACACTGTAATGACTCGCTTGGGTATCAACTCTGGTTTCATTTAGAATCAAGTCCCGAAGTAATACTTACTTTTCTTTTTTACCACTCGGACTGAGCTAAAAGCAAATATTACTATATTCTACAATTCCAAAAATGGGAAGGACTCGTATGTTAATTTACTATTCGGATTAATACTTCTCATCTTACAAACGATTATCGTGGGGTCTAATCCGGAAAATAAATAAATGAAAATTGGTAAAAGTGGGGCGAGGGATGCCGAAGGTATTGTCTTCCTGGTAGATAACGTATTTGTTTGTTTGTTTTATATCAGTCCATGTTATTCGTCTACAAATGTTAAGGTCGCGGTTTAAGTGGCTACCATTAAGTAACAGTAGTTGAGAAATCCCAAAACTATTGATTAGGAGTATAAGGAAGTAATTTGTTCTCTTGAATATGCAATCAAATTGTTTTCATTCTAGATCATGGAAAGGTAATCAGGACTTTTTGTCATAAAGATAAATTTTGAGAAAAACATAATACTAATATCAGATTTACAAATATTTGAATATAAACTTATCAAAACTCTTAAATTTCGGATTTTTTAATAGGCGCTCCTATCTTTTCGCTGTATCTCTGAATAAGGCGGGAATGTTTTTAATCTATATCTCCGAATAAGGACCTGTATAAGAAGCCATCATCACACAGGAAGATACTGTTCTTCAAATGATCGTGATCTTTCCGAATTAAAACACACATTTTATCACACCTTGGGTGAGGTGGAACCCGAGATATTTAACCAGCGACATAGTTAATCTAATTCTCCAACCACAAGCAATTGATAACACAACGATTTGAGATAACTTTAGGACTCTCCAAGGGGCGACAATGGCATTTCAATTTACCGAAATTTTCTTAAATTGGACGGAAAACATAGCCATTGCACCTATAATGTTACGATTTAACTTTAAGGCTCTTCAATGGGCGACAAATGCATTTCAATTTACTGATTTTTCCTAAATTGGATATAAATGTTACAATCTCACTTTAGAACTCTCCAAGGGGCGACAAATGCTTTTCAATTTACTGAAATTTCCTAAAATTGGACGGAAAACATAGTCTGTGTGAAATATAAATTCAAATGTCTACAGAGGTCATAACCTCTGCTTTGATCCCGGTAGTGTCAGTTTCCCAAATCGTTTAAATCGGCTTCGGATATTGTAACATTATACAGAATATCCGAAAATTTAAATTTGTTAATTTTCCCATGGAACTTATTAATGGCGGTTTTCACAGGGTCCTTAAATAGTAACTTTTAGGTATTTTTAGATCAATTGCTTCCAAAAAAAGATATTTTGTGTAATTGCTATAATTAAAAAATGACCTAATTACAATTTTTGTAGGGTAAAAAACTTTTGCCCTTAACCTCTTCTTTACGTAAGGCCTCCTGACTGCCAAAAATTGGGGCGTGTGTCGGAGAAACGACAAGTTTCGTGAAAATATCTAATGCATTTGAAACAAATAACTGGGTAACTATATTCATACCAGACGTGAACGATCGATAGTTCATGGGTTTGCCATATAACTGAGCTGCCTCATCGACTTTTCTTTCCCCGGACTGCAAACATGGTCGTGGCCATGAATTTTCAGAGGTCATTTCTAATTGCCAAGTTACATCGTATCCGCCAGCGAGTCCGGTCGGAAAACGTGGGTTTTCAAGAGTCTTATACATAAGTATTATACATAAAAATGCTTTTTTCACATTCCAAAAAAGGGGGTCCACACTCAACATACCCCCTGGATACGCAAAGATTACTATATTGTAAGGTAACAAAGTAAGACAAGAATAAATTATTTCTACTCTAACATTCAACCGATAGGATCTACTGTATTATGAATGAGAATGATGTCATAGCTTTGGGTATGTGCCAATATTCAAAACCTTAAATAATTCGCACCCAGTTAAAATGTCATTTAAATTAAAATCCCCAAAATTGCGAATAATTATACATCCAAATAAAAATTTTGGTGAAACACGGAAATGCGTTGCCACATTTTATTGCCTGGGAAAACCATTCAAGGGTGGTCTGCCTTATGTTTTAAAGAACAATTACCATGTTCAAGTTATTTGAACCTGGCTATTGTGAAGACTAATTATTACCTACAAGTATAAAACATAAGGTATTAACTAGATCATGATCCCTCTTATTTTTATATTACATTGGATTTCCTGTGTCCTTGGCTTTGTTTGAGGGCGAAATTATCTGTGAAATTTGATAGTTACACTAAGTAGCAATTACAGCCGGTTAGAAGTTTTTTTCTACAATGTAATGAACTCAAATTTAGAATGAATGTGAATTTGACCTTGCATACTCAGTACAGTCAATCGCTTTCGACAATTTTTCAAGCCCTTCTCTCCGAACAAGGGGTTGAGGACTTTTTACAAATTTCAAGTCACTTTAAGGTACTGATAAATAGTGACTCGCGTTCAAGTCAAGTCGAGTCAGTGACTCGAGCAAGCACAGCAGTGAAGTATATATTACATAGGGGTTTACTTCCTCCACAGGAAGGGAGTTCGCCGTTTTATTTTGGGGGGGGGGATTTTGTTTTGTATACGCCGTAGTATCACTAATATCCGTATTATTACTATAGTAATTCATGGGTACTCCCGTAGTATGTGAACCAAGAGACGGATACCGAACGTAGTATGTGTACCAGGTTAGGGTTAGGCTACCCCTTAAACTACCTACTTGAACTTTACTTGCACATCACACTAGCTCCACTTAAAACTCCATTTAAAGATTGAACAAATAAAGTGTTTTTATGCATCGGAGGTATAAAGAGTCGAAAAATAGGCAAAAGGGGGATTTAACAAAAAATATGATAAAATTACTACGTAATACCAATAAAACAGACAATGTAAAATGATATTTTAGATACACCATCTCTTCTTTCATTCACAATGACGCAATTCCCTTATTCTAACTCAGCAGGGATGACCAACCAATGCCCAGTTAATTAAATTAATTAGGGGCAAATCTTGGCAAGCGGTGCGTGGGAAAACATTCAAATTGCGACGATATTTCGGCCTTAATTACGCATAAATCACCAATCTGTTGCCGTGAACGGTAAACACGCCTGAGGTAACAATCAGGGCGATACTTATTACAAGGGAGATTTTCTAAAAACGATTTTGAAATTTATTTCTTATAAATCATATTTAAAAATAGGTTTTGAAGAGAAAAATATTACATTTTCACCCAATTAAAGGATTATTCATATGTAAAGGTGATATTCCTGATATATGATTATGTTAACAAGTTTAAAATGAACCAATTTGCTTTTAATTGTGTAATTACTTGAGTTCAGGGCGTCGATATTACATTCAATTCAAATATAGCTCGGATAATTTGTAATAAAATGTCAAATTTATCTTTATTCTTGGTATGCGACAGATATGTTATATGTGTTCTTTTCTACAAGTGTATTTAAGCGGGAAATTGTTTACCTTGTTCGTGGCTTAATACGGCATGATGACGTAATGCAAATACGCAATGTGACGTCACTTTGGTTTTAATTTTAAATAAATGAAACAATACTCAATGTGACGTCACTTTGGTTATAATTCAATTAAATGCAGCCATACGCATGTGATGTAACTTTGGTTTTAAATTTAAATAAATACAACCGACTAATCGAGTTCCTAAACACGTTTCATTCGAGTCCGCCCAACTTGATACTTAGACGATCAAATAAAGTTTGCTAACAAATTCAGTTTCGAATCGCCAGTCTTAAAGTGCGCAGGCCAACTATATTAATTACATCGATTGCTATTATTTCTACGTGTTTTACTATTCTCACTTAACTGTTTGAAAACCGAGTGAGGTTATCCTGGACTGTTATGAAATATAAAAAAAATTATAAATGAGACACTGTCTTTCTTATCTTGCAAACACGAGAGCAACATTAGTCTGCAGTGCAGTCTCGGCTACTTGAACTGTTGTTTGTATTACTGTCGAGAGCGCCGCAATCTCAAAAGTAAGAAGCATCCAAGAACGCAAGATCTATTATGGCGCGATATGTGACAACATGTTATGTATAGTTTCAGTCGTCGGCAGTAACTTTGGTCATAGCTAAGTTGCATTTGTTTCTGAGCAGTTGCGTATCTACGTAATATTACGAGCGTGGCAAAGTTGCGCCCCCTTGATCGTTGACTGACATTTTTACGACTGTTGCCGAATTGAGGTCTTACACGTTAGTATTGAAGTTTCCAATTTAAAAATATTTTTTTAGGCATTTCACGATTAAGAAATTTCGCCCTTTTGCGTCCATATCCAAACGGCGGCCATGGCACGAGCCATGGCTGTCATACCCTGTATACGCCATTGCTTCTGAGTGAGTGCTCGTTACTCTACATTGAACAAATTCTCTTGAAAAATAAAAACATACTGCCATTTACATAATCCAGCTAACTAGCATACACTGATTTTGTCGCATATAACAACACGTTTCGAAGCGAGAACAATACTAATATATGACTATTTAAAAATGTGGACTATTATTATTCAATTTCAGTCAGGCAAAATACCCTTACCAAGCTTTTAGGACTGAAATTTTATTTTGGCGCAAAAACATGTTTTTTAATAATATTATTGTTGCTATTTTATAGAACAAAAAATGAAAAATTAAGAGTGCAACAGGGAATTAAATTGGTAATTTAATGAACAATAATTACATCATAAAACAAAGCCGGTTGTTATAATTTTTAATTGTTTGATCATAACACAACAATTAGAAGATAACACGTTGATAAGTGTGTCGAAATCGCATTGTTTTGTCATAAATGTAACACACGACACAATGATCAATCAATGAAACCGATCGTTCTCATAATTTTACCTTTTTCGAGCTCGGACTAGAGATATAATAAAGAAACAAACCTAGTTATTTCCAATACAGCTCGTTTAATATTCTCCATTTTATTTCTCCTAATTTATAGTGTATTTGAATCAAGACATTAACATCCTTATGGGGCGGAAATCAAATAATAATTTGGTATATAAAGCTTTAAAACGTTCATTATATATAAATTTTGATTTACAACTTATACATTGTATACCCCACCATTATTTATTATTATATTCTTAACAGTTACTGGCATATCCGAAATATGCGTGATAGGCGTATTCCGCGGCGTCTCCATACAGTATAAAGCGTTATATGATATCACTATGGCATCAGGTTTTGTACAAAAACTACATTTTATTTTTGTATTTTTCAATAAATCCACTTCTTCCCCGTAGAATAGTGTCTGCTACAATAATGGTTATTGTATGAAAAAACGCACCATATGCTCGACATATGTACGGTGTTAGCGAGTGGCTGTTGCCAAGCTTATTCGCAACAAGAGAGCTTTCTCTTATAAAGTACCTAACCTAGTCTACTGTGGGATACGGTCAAAACATTTCCTACTTCTGTGCAGCGCGGGAGTAGGCCGAGAGAGGTCAAAGAACCGCTACATATAATTTTAATTAATTCTGAAGAAAATTTTGAAGTGAAAAACGAATTACATAGAGCCCACAATCTTTAACCATATTTTACTCAATTTAACAATACGTATGGACAGAGTGAATATATGGTACCAATCTTTATTCGAATAGCTCCCTCGAAGAGAGTAATTATGCTCCCATATAGACAGCACGCTAGGGATATATCGACCAAAACGTCGTATGAATGGACCATATGAAACGGCCGACTTGCAGACAGCTACTTCGCGTAAACCAATTTATCCGGGCAAAATTAGCAGTAATGGACTCATTTAACTCCGGGAAAGACTTCTAAGTCGATATTTTCGTGAACAGTTGTCCAGAGGTTTTTTATCTTTTCGGCTTTTACAGAAACCGACAAAATGATTAAACTTTATCTACCGACCTTAAAACATTTATATTAACCCTGTTACACAAATCATCAACATTGCTACCGACTTAAATGGAATAGTTCGACTTTCTTGTATGTAACGGGTTGGACGAACCATGGTATCTCACTATTGTTTTACGAAGGACAAGCGCCGTAATGTCTGGTCACTTTTAGATGGTAAATATTTATGCGCTGGTGATGATAACGCGGTTTATAGATTTAACATTTACAATAATGATCACCGAAGTTTCAGACTCCTTCGAAACGATATTTTAGCTCAAGATTTGATATGTATTCATTAATGTATCACATTTTTAAGAGTTGGAACGTGACCGCGACAGGAATTTGAAATGGGAAATTTTTTTATATTTCGGCGGGAAATCAAGCGCCTAACTGCCGCCAGTTAGGAACACGTACTCGACAAAAATGTTGTCGCAAACTAACGATAAAAGCTCTAACGTTTTAGCAAACAAACTGTATTTAATCCTCTCTTTGCAAATTATATCTAAGGAAACGGTTTATAGTGCAGTAAAACGCTTTATGGGCGGAAATTCTTATTGATAAATACCGGCATTTCACGAATATATATTTCATACTTCCGATAATAACCCAATTTTGGCCAAAAAGCGCGAATTAGGAAAATCGAAATGAAATATATCAAAACTGCTAAATCAGATACTTCTAAACCGCCAAGATACTTCTTCGAATGGTAAGACTGGTAAATGGTTAAAGGGTTCATATTAATTGGAATGAGTGGAATGAATTATAAAATCGGACTAAGACAATCATTTTTTAAAACGCACTTACGCTTATTTGAGTCACAAAAACGAATAAATATGAGAATATAGTAATCCCGGGAAAGAGTGGAATCGTTAAGACGACTAAATGCGTCGAACTACAGTCTTTTGCCGGCTTTCAATTCCAATTCGGGTATAAAAATAGAAGCAATTTAATGTTCAAGGCAAATGGACTATCTGAATCTGTCTTAAAATAAAATTTCTAAAATTCGACGATCGAAAAACATCGTTTTTAAAAATAACGTGAAGCGCGAAGAATTTTCTAACTGAACTTCGCATTATTCAGATAGTAATTAAACTATTCAATTAAATGAAATATAACACTAATTCATAAAACATAAAACTATTTTACTATAGAATAAAATTTCAAAATCTTACCTAAATGGTGAAAGCTTCTTGCTGTGTTCACTCGGCTCGCAATCTCGTCATGGGGGAGATCGAACCCGGGTTCCCAAGTGGGTACCAAGCTGTGGGGGCCGTCGGAATCATCCCCCATGTGGGCTTTGTAGAGGTGTTGCATAATCCGCGGGACGGGCATGTCCCCTGAGGGAGTCGGGCGACGAGTAAGTCCAAACATATCTAGTAGTTTCTTTTCGAATTCGTTGACGATCGCTTCCTCGGCTTCGGGTGTGTCTGCTTCCGCCTGTTCGATTAAGTTCGCCCGGCCAGCCTCCGGGAGCATCCCCGATGTTGTTGAGATTATAATAAAAAGTCCAATAAGGTGTATTTGGAAATGCATTGTTCTTTTTGTGGTAAAGTATTCCCAAAATGTCTTACAGATCTCGGAATATCTCAAACTTTGATAGATCCGAAAGGACAGTATAATATGCAGATATATATTTTTGCTTTACATTTATAATTAGAAATCTGAAAAATATAAAATGATGTGTAACGAAAACGCTAATTCTTACAAATTATATAAAATACATTTACGAAAAAAGGAAAAATATATTAATTGGATTTCCGATCAAAATGGCGTTTAGAACAGTCAATTATTTTATATTAAAAACATTCAAATCAAAAAATTATTATATATAATCCTCACGCTCAAAATATATACCGAGATAATCATACCACACTTTCTTAACCGCGAAGCAAAACAACAACACAGCGATCAGAAAACCTTCACCGCACAACTGGTGAAAACTCTCACGTAAGGTTGGACAGTGTTTTGATAAGAAATGGATTTTAAAAAATATGCCTTTAGGCGACTACCAGTCATTCAAAAAAAAACTTTTTGCCGTTGAAGACAAAGTACCACTGTATAAAACTATAGTACAATCTATTCAACTTTCACTTAAAATCATTTCGTTCGTTTATACTCCCTTTTCTGTGATTTTAACAAGAAAACTACTCCTAACAAGAATTTCAACGATAAAAATAGCAAAGTATAACTTCAACTGTGTATCTCAAAGTACCAAATTTTATCCACGCGGCAAAAAACGAACTGTATAATGGAAGATTTATTACAAAAAAATTAAAGTATCTAATTCATGTCCACTGTCAGACAGTATCTCCTAATGATTGTATTCCATAGTTTATTAACTTTGATGTAGGTATATCACATTATGGTATAGTTATATCCCTGCATGATTTTCATTACTGAAAGATATTCAAAAGCCTTTTCTATATTCTAACTCAACTGTCTATCCCTCTGTTCCATCGCCGATGTTGTGGCGAAGTATTCCTGAGTCTTCTCAATTTATAGTTCTGATATTCCCAAGGCCGCGAACACCAAATTGAATGCTCATTTGAAAAATTGAGAAAGGAATACATACGGTAGCTAAGTGTGTGACTAACTAAATTAACGCCGTATGGAGCAATGCCGATTGTCGAGTTGCGAGATACGACGAGAAAAAAGGCAGCACACAAATATCTCTCTCTAATATTCAAGATGTCTTACAGATCGACCATTCGGAATAATTTGCTAGCAATGCCCCAAACAAGAATTGTAGAAGATGGGCTTTTCTTTTAAATTGGTAGTTTGTCTTTGAGTGTTTCGATAAGTTTTTGTAATAAAAATTTCGAAGTGAAACACGAATCACATAAAGCCCACTAACAGTGTTTAAATAACTATAAGTAATAGCCGTCTAGCGAAAAATGCAACCTTTCGCCACTGAAACTTTCAAAGCAATTATTTATTGTGAAAAGCGATTTTTTCATAATAACAGGAAGAAAAATACCAACATAATAGCACAGGGAACCATATGTACATCTTTGCTCTAAACAAAAAATGTTTCGCGCGTACTTTTAGTCCAAAAATTTGAGCAGCCAAATTATGGTTTCTTTATTTCATGATCGGTATTTTGTGTATGATTGACATTTGTGTGCTGTGCCCTAAAAAACAAACCCGCTTTTCTATAGTCCAAAAGTTCAAGTTAGATTAACTTTTATTCGACAATGGAATCTAAAATTATTTCAAAAGCATATTACAGTGAATTTGGCAGGGGTTTCTAATGCGTTTATTTGTCATTACTAGAGTTTTTCATTTGGTTAGAGAACTCAATAACGTGAAAGATACAATAATAGTAATGAAAGTACTTTAAAAATGTTAATCTTCTAGAATTAGATTTATTCTAACTTTTAGGTCCTTCCAGATAATTAAGAAATCTACTTCTTAATGTCTGAAAAAACGAAGAAGAAATATGACAGATAAAGACAATTATGCTTCGATTCTGAAACATAACTGATAAATCGCGCAGTTTCAGTGCCAATATTTTCAACCGCTAGATGCTGCGATTAAGCACATTTTCGATTGTTTAATCGAACTGTCTTCTATCGACTATTCATGAATGTTTTTTCGCATTGATAAGAGTGTAACATACTCAAAATATGAAGAAAGTGTGGTAAAAGTATAAAAATTGGGAAACCGGGATGACGTGAAATCTGACATAATGATGATATAATACAATTAATAATATTAGCCTAATCAGTTTTTTTTTTCTCTCGCGTGCGATAAATATGAAAATTCCATCTCTGTCCTGATTAACCTTGTGACAAGAAAGTCACTACCGCGGGATGTTGCCAAATTAAAAGTATTGATGATTGTAAACCTATTTTTGAACCTCCCTTAATTAGAAGGGGTAGGTACTACACTTTCACTGCGTATGATTATGGTCTCTTTTTTTTCAATTTCGTTAATTCCACTGGATTAAAGTCTAGTTCGGAACGCCACGCAATAGTATATTATCGCTTACCCGTTAACTATTTGATAGTTCTCTATTCATTTTTTTTTTTCAATATGCATTTTATTCATCAGAGATAGATTCCCAGTCCCCGATTTATTATATGTATGCTTATCAATAAATTATCATATCTTATCAACACTATTTTCATACTAATAAACTTATTGCTTGATCTAAACAGGCGAACCTGATCATCGCGATTCCCAAATTAACAAGCAAACCATTTACTACGATGTTTCTGTATTGGTGCGTAATCTTCAAAGACCAATCGGAAATAATATTGCGTTATCAAAATCAATTCACAAAAGATTGGCACCGTTTGATACATCGTATCAAAATGCTTGCACAACAGAATTACGAAGTAAGTAACATAGTTAAATAGAAGTGATGTCACAGTTGACAATGCATTTTCTTGTTATAGGCCCAACACTGAAAAGATCCAAATATTATTTGCTTTTTCTCTAAGATGTTCATTTTAAGTTAGATTGGATTAGCGCCCTACCTCCTGACCCATTAAAATCTTAGATAAATGGATACGCATGCGCGTAATGTAACAATTCTAAAGACACGTGAGCGTTTTGAATTGCCAGAAATACCAAGACAAACGTAATCCAACTATCTTACATTTGTATTATCGTCTTCAGACGATCACTCTTTCCTACTTAAACAGAGAACACATGCACAAAGCTTTAATATATATATATCGATTCTTAGTTATAAGTTACTGAATAGACATTCTTGAGATATTTTTCAACTATACGCCAAGGTTGATATATACGTGTATAGCAATAGTGACGATATACAGGGTGTCCAAAAAAATTTCGCCCGATTTTGCATCTAAAAATTTTCTGTCTTTGTATATTAATAGTTCTTATTGTGCTTGTAGTTCTCATTTATCATACAATGAAATTTATTTAAACCTAGAATTGTTCTTACTATAAAATCGGGTGACATTTTTGGACACCATGTATGTATCCCTGACGAAAGTTACTGAACAAAAGTTTCGTCAAATGAAAGGTATTCTTCAACAATTCGTCAATTCAATATGCATATATAACAAGAAAGAAGATGACTATTCTAAACAAGTCTTGCTGCACACTGACACAAATTAACTTCTGATATTTACAATTCAACTACCGTACTTCAAAATACTCATCTCAAATCAAACTTTTAAGTACTCTTTCCTGCTTAAATAGATAACATGGAATGTGCGTTAAACTACAATATATATATCCTTAATGAACAGTAATGATATTGCACGTGATTATAAATACAAATACACTTACAAAGTGCAAACATAATTAAGTAAAAAAAGCAATAAATATCACAGCGGGAAATATAAAGCGGATAAGATAATTCGTACGAAAGTTAAGCGGACATTTTTCTGTCTAGAACGCTATCTGCTAGTGATATTATACAGTACACATAAGAAAATTATTCTTTTTTTTATGAATTCCAAACAATACGTACTGTTGAACAACATCCCAGCGGCTGGTCAACATATCTACATTTTTGTTCCGTAAATTCTTTGGTCGTCTGGAACTTGGTTAGCGAAGGAGTACCAGACAAACTCTGACGACGATGTGAACGTACTAGCAACACGCTGGGATGAGTAGTGATTGCGCACGAGTCTGTAGTGCGCCTGACAAAAGATTTTCGTGTGCGACTGCGCGCATCGTAACGCGATAAGATAGATTACAGATTTAATGTTATTGATAGTCAGATCGTATTTTTCTGTCCCTTTGACTTAAACATTGCCAATTTTTGTAGCAAATGATATTTAACTATAAATTAGAGTTAAGCGAGACTAATTGGAACTTTGTAAATCACGCGTTTCTAAGTAGTTTAGCAGTTGCTGAACTATGAAGCAATCTATTTCTATAACGTTTCGCCCGCATACTATTATTTACTCTTATACTATGCTTTTACACTAGTGGATCTCCAAATGCAAGGATGCAGTAACAAGACTCTCGCATTATATAAAACGATATTTAGTTGACTTTATGGAGAATAAGGTTTCCATATTTATTCCAAAGAAGAGGAAAGACAATAAAACTGCCCGATCATTCGCTCTAGATTCAACATGGGCAAACAACGGCTGGGTAATTTAATCTAGCCTGATTTTGCCACAACCAATATAAAACCAAATTTTGATGTTCTTTTTTCAAGAATAGCGCAAGGAATTTGTTGAGATTTCGATTTAATTTAGTTTTGGCACGAGGCTTATTTTTTTCCACTTTTAATTTTGTAACACTGTAAATATTGTTCATAAAATGTAACTTTTTACGTCACACTTACGTTCTAAAGCTTTCCGACTGGACATTGTCTACCCTATTTGTTACGCTCTTAGTGATGTAGTGTTGTTTCTCATTCGAGGAAAACTGTATAATTTTTTATAATCTTTCATTTCGTACGTGATTTATTCCTACTCGGAAACGAATAGTCGTGAACCGCACGCCACCCATTTTTGTGGTACAGTGCCAAGATGGCGTAACAAGGCTCTGAGACCCAATTTCTTTGTACTTTGTTTTTTTCTTCACAACCCGATACCTCAAAGTTCAAAAAGTCGTCTATCTGGCGCGTGGCCAATTACCGTTTCGTTTATCTCTTTCAACATGTCAATAGTTTTCCTCAAAACACAGTCTTATCTTTAAAATTTGATATCACAAGTTCAAATGTTG